TGAGGCAGACGGGGAGTCGCTAGACGGCGGCGACTCGAGCTGCGGTGAATGTCTTGTTGCTACTCGACCTGCGCGCAGTAGCGGCCGCGCCGTTGCAACCTCGCATCCTCGCTTCATGCGCCCTGCCTGGAAGCATCCACTCACCGCGCTGCACCCCATGGCTGCCTCCGGTTCCGAAAATTGTGTATGCACGTATGCATGTAGGTGCCAGCAATGCGACGCGACGCGCCGTACGTTTTGTTCTTCTTAGCAAAATTTCGTCACAAAGACACATTGTCATCAAAGACATCACCTCCACGTGCGCTAGCCCCTTGCATAAGCCACACATAACATTTCCGTCACCTACGACGCGCCCCATCATCATCACTTGCTTGCGTCACATCAGCTCTCGCTATCGCTCACTATCGCAATCAGACATCATCAGCATGGTTTATCGCTGTCGCGGGGAATGTGGGGAAACCGCTTCGGTCAGCCTTGTGGAAACCCGACCGAATAGGAAGTGCCGATGCACGAGTCAAGTTGAGACGCCTAACAGTTGGTATGATTTCTCATCAGACTACTTCATCATTTCCCTCACATCTTCGCCACCAAACTTAAGAGCTCACAACGTTGAGTACACCGCCATCCACCGTCAGAATCTGGCCGTTGACATAGGAGTTCTTGGTGAGGAAGATGACGGCCTGTGCCATCTCCGCGTCGCTTCCCGCCCGACCGTGTGGGACGTGGCCCTTCTCCTGGATCTTCTCATCCGGCAGATCACTCTTCTGGTTCTCGTCGCTCTCCTTCGCTGTCATCTCCGATGGGAAGTAGCCAGGGGCAATGCTGTTCACACGGATGCGAAGCTGCTGGAACTCAGCCGACATGAGTTTGCTGAGGTGGACGGTGCCGCCCTGGAGTAAGAGTCAGTCGAGATCGTCCACACATGAAGACGAATCTCTCACCTTGGCAGCGTTGTAGCTGAAGTGCCCTTGTGCGTCCTTCATAATTCCCGACATGGACGAGATGACAATGACAGAGGCAGAAAGGTGGCCATGGCTCTCAGTTCCAGCTTGGAGAAGCGGCAGGAGAACGACAGTGGTGAAGTATACGGCAGTGACATCGGTGTTGTAGGTCTCGGCCCAGCCCTCGAATGTCTCGTTGTCGAAGAGCTTCTTCTTCATGTCGGTCGCGTTGTCCGCATCGGGAATACCCTTCTCGCCTGAGATGCCGGCTGCGGCAATGAGAAGATTGATGTACTTCTCCTTGGACGCCAGCTCCTGGTACATGCGCTCCAAGTCGTCTTTCTTGGTTACGTCACATGGTGAGAGAGGGATGATTTTACCACCTTGGTCGGGGCTGTGTGACTTCGCTGCGGTCTCGAGGGCTAACATGGTCAGTCTCTCCGTCTGACTGATTCGAGGGGGCTGCAGTCGTGCTTACCTTCTTGTCGACGACCAGTAATGTAGACCTATCTGATGTTAGCATTGTTCATTCGCGAGAAGAAGGAACGTACTTTTGCGCCGTTCGCAGCAAGGGCCTGGGCAGCCATGAGGCCGATACCAGAGCCACCTCCAGTCACTACGCATACATAGTCTTTGACTGAGAAGAGCTTCGCGACGTGAAGGTCGGAAGTGTTTGCTTTGGGAGGCATGGTGAATCGAGTGTGTGCTTTGGATGGTAATGGGATGTGAAACTCTCTTCGAATGAAGTTATCCTGAGTGATTCTGGTAATTGCAAAGTTCAAAGACGAGAGTAAGACGTTTGTGGAAAAAGCCTAGAAGTTCTGTTAGAATAATTAGCTATGACGTACAGCTGTAAACAGCCCACCTGGCCCAATTAGGCTTAGCCTCAACGCGCTCATGCCACAGCCTCTCTTGCCTCATGCGGTCTCGCGCAAACTTGCCGTTCAGCCCGTTCAGCCTCGACCTCCAACGTCCAGGCAGTCGCTTCCATGACCGCGCCACTGTTTGTCCGACGTGCCTTTTCCGCGCATCATCGCATTACTTTCACTCTTTCTCGATACTCCATCATAATTTCAACTCACCCACGGTTGTCTAACAATGCCTACCCACGGCGCGTAGCACATACACGGCAATCTCCAGAACTTGGAGATTATCACTTCCTTCATCTTTTCAATACATCTACACGCGTATAGAAACCGCGGTGATAGCTCGTCCCCGCAACCTTACATGGGAACATCGCCCTCAACCGCCCGCCGCAATGTCTGACCCACGATACGAGCTCATGGTTCCACCAGGAATGAGTGACCAGCTATGGCCCGAGCGTCTGGACACACCCGGACTCATCCCGCATCACCTCAAACGCTCTGCGACAGGTCAGTTCCCCATCTTAGAGGTTATCCAGCGTCTACTATATCGACTCCGGCCAAGCGGCATCGGCGATCTTGAAAAGCTCCTCGCACTCATCGGTCTCTACCAAGCTATTCGTCCCGCATATAAGCATCTGAAGGATTTCTTTACATGGGCCTTTACCGTCCAGGTCACCATCCCAGAGACCGATCCAGTCGCTAGAGAGGTTCTGGCGTGGATGGGCTCGGAGGTGATACTCAACAGCCACACGAGGAGTGCCATGCTGGTCACAGGAGGCACACAGGATCCCAATGACGAGTTTCATCGCCGCATGATGGCGGCGCATAACCCGAGACTTGCATCCGAGAAACCGGACGATGAGGTTCTGTGTCTCCCGCCAATCGGTACACGACTATTTTGGGTCGGATTTCGACCGTATCTATTCTCACGTCGAGGTGGCCCTGGCTATCGGACCAACAGTGGTATGACCGGTAACCTGCTCGATGATAGCGGCCAGCTTCAAAACTCCCTCACTATCATGACGCTCGGATGGAGCCTCAAACCACTCAAGCAGTTCACCAGTCTCTGTCGCGAGTTCCGACTCAACAACCTCACAGGTACCACAACGGTATACTTCGCGGGAGATCGTACAGATCCATACGGTAACGGTTGGCAGTCGGTCTCCAAAGCCATTCGAAAGCTCGACACTATAGACATGGACGAGACTACCAAATTTGATATTGTCAGAGACGCAGAATACTACTATAGCGAGGAGTCACGGTCATTCTTTGCCGACTGTGGTATCCCATATCGGCGCGGATATCTCTTCCATGGCCCCCCGGGTACCGGCAAGAGCTCATTCAGCGCTGCATTGGCGGGCCATCTTGGCTGCGACATCTACCACATCAACCTTTCCACCGGCAGCATCAATGATGGAACACTTCACCGCTTGTTTCTAGGCCTTCCACGCAAGTGCGTAGTGGTTTTGGAAGACATCGACTCTGCTGGTATCGGTCGCGAACGAACACCGCCGGCTGCCCCAACAGGAGCACATGCGCAAGCGGATGAAAATCTGGGTGACGTCGCTGGCATTCCAGGTGGCATCGGTCCGCTACCAAAACTTCGGGCTCGTGATTACCCGGGTGTGAGTCGTAGATCGAACACAGTCACACTAAGCGGCCTGCTGAACGCCATCGACGGAAACGCCTCTCAAGAAGGAAGACTCTTGATCATGACCTCCAACGCTCCCGACACGCTTGATGCGGCTTTGACGCGCCCCGGTCGTATCGACAAGAAGGTCTACTTCGGCAATATGGACCCTAGTGCGGGCAAGAGCATCTTCAAGCGCTTGATAGGTCGATCAGCTCTAGCTCACGATGCGGAATTTACCATGGCACAAATCGAGGAGTGGGCGACTGAGTTCGCCGACAAGATGCCCACTAATACATGTAATTGGTTATGGCATTTCAGATACAGAATTCGTACTAACAGGAATACAGTTTCCCCAGCGCAAGTGCAAAACTACCTCCAAGGCTGTCGCGGTGACCCTCTCAAAGCTCTCAACGACGTTGAAGCCTGGATCGCGGAGACCAAGCTCGAAGCTGGGAGGTCGAACGGCACTCAGAATGGTACTCAGAACGGTACTCAGGACAACGCTCAAAACCACGCTCAGAACGGCGTAGGCCCGGTCGTTTCGAACAAGCCCGTCCCAGATGGTAGTGAGTTAGAAGCTCTGCTCCTGGCTGGGAGCATGGACTGAAACATCATCGGAAACACTGTATTGATCTTTCCAGAGTACTGACATTACACTAATAGCTGCATCCACCCGGTTCTTCCAATGTTCTATCTGATGCAGTACGACCCAGAGTGTCCAAAGGGATATACATGGAAACAAGGTCCGAGGATCTCACAAACAAGGGCATGGACCGTGAGTGGACCTCCTTTGAGAACATATGGATAGAAGGTAGTTAGTGGCCGGTAGACTGGGATGAAGACGTTGGGTTTTCGTTGTCTTGTTCACGAAGAAGTAGAGATCGGAGAGTTGGGATCGTAGACGGGGATGAGATGTTGCGCGCGCACTTCTTCTATCGAAGCACAAACGTTCACGTATTTGGTAGTGGATGAAATGACGTCCGAATGGCCAGCATTGTCTAAGCTTTTCCATGCCGCTGCTTCTCATATTCTAGACTTAGTGAAGCTCAGTGCACTTCATTCTCCGACCAGGCTCTCGGTACAAGTATTCTCTTCATCCCACTTGTATCCTTGTCTGATCAACCATAATACCGTGCGCCATGCTCAGTTCAGAAACGTGCAAGAGTCAAACTCCAAGTGAGCTTCGGCTTTTTCGCAGATTGCAAGGAAAAGGTAGCGAATATCACAACAACCGGCCCGCTTAATGATACCCCAGCTCTGAGCATAAAAGACGTTGTTGATCCCGCTCAACTTCTGATAGAGCACATCAAATGAAAGTCCGTCGAAGGGATGTTGGTCATGTTTCTCGATGCGACTCAGCAACTTGTGGTCCCACAAGCCTTTCTGTAAGAATCCTAACATCGTCGCCGAACATCCAGCATTGCATCCCACTTTGCCTTCGTATAGATCTTGGTTGAGCTTATGAGTGCCAGCCAGTAGCTCTTGGATAGCTTTACACCTCATGCTGTCAAGCTGACCTACACCTATCAGAGTCAGCAAGCCTTTGTGCATTAGGAGAAATCACTCACCTTTTTCACCGCGTGGGAAAGGCAAATCCAAGAACTGTATTGGATAGCACGCCTCCCTCATTGCCAAACATGCCATGGTATGGAATATCTCCCAATCCTTCAATTTGACACCCAAGAACATCCACAGCATCGACTCTTCGCCGTAATGTTCGGGCATCGGCTGTTCCTGGAGTTGATCCTGCCACTCTTTCGTAAACAGTCTCAACGCATCCTCCATCTGGTAGTAATCCGCAACCAGAAACAGCGCAACAAACAACCGAACGCTGATCTCCTTCGGTATAGCCGCGGACTGGAGATGCGCAATATTGAGCATAATGGCAAGGGCATGCGGGTTCCACTGTTGCGCTCGTACGTGATATAGACCGTCCTCGCTATTCGGAACTGTCTCGTCGTAGTTCCGTTTGAACATCTTTTCGAAGTAAGGTGAAACGATGCGCAACTGTCGCGATGATACGAAGTAGTGGACTTCGGTGGGTTTCTGCTCCGGTAGCGCAGTCTCGTTCTCGATAACTGCTTTGGCGGCCTCTGCCTGAGCGATCCAATTGTCCACAGATTCGCTCTCGTTTCTCCACTTGGACTGCGCGGTGCTTCGGTATTTGAGCTTGATCAGCATGTCGCCGTTTGGGTCGATTGTTACGAGCTTTGGTTTTTTGTCCATTGCGACTGAGGCGTGCGCTGGGTAAAGTCAGTGTGACGATGTTGGTCTGGCGAATTGAGAGAGTCAATTCGGCGTGTGAGGTAAGCGTAATGGGTAGGTGGTGAAAGACAGTGCGTTTGCTCGCCAAGCCCGCTAGTCCGGTGTTGTGGTACGAACTCGTAGGGACGGAAGGTCGTTACTCATCGCTATGAGTTTGAACTGATTAGGCAATCGTAGATAGACGTTAGGAGAGCTGATCGCACTGGCATGGATACGATACTGGAGACATGTAGGACGGTGAAGTTGTATGCTAAGGAAACTGGCAAGTCTTCAGCTGACAGCGGTGAAAGATCATGAATACAGTCGAACGCACGTGAGACAAAGACTAAGCAATGACAACCGCAATAGGCGCATCGCCTATCAACTGCATGTGCTGTATTACCCCACTCGGAGGTCTGTGGATAATAAGGTATATACATGAACTACGTTTACATAATTATAATTCAGGAAGCGATACCTTCAAGTTGGATTTACTCTCTAGTAGTGAGCGGGGGCGGGGGTCGCCTTGGGCCTAACCCTAGTCTCCAGAGTGCAAAGCGTGCTGCTGGCCTTGACACCTCCGTAGCCCTGAGCGGCAGAGGGCTTGGTGGGGCGATGGGCAGCATGGGTAGGCTTGGGGTAGGCGTGAGGCCACTTGCCAGAAGGCCTTGGGCGGCCCCAACCGAAGCCGCCCTGGGGACGGCTGCCGTTGTGGAAGTAGTCTGGGCGAGGAGTGCCAGAGGGGCGTGTGTTGCCAGAGGGACGCATGCCGGTTCCGGTGGGGTAGGCTGCTGCTGAGCCTGTACCGGTAGGGCGCTGAGGAACGGGCGATGAAGCAGTAGCGTCAAGGGGCACGCGAGTGCTCTGAGCCTTGCTTTTGGTGCAAGATGTGGAGGTTGCGGGTTTGGGTGTCGCAGTGGTAGAGATAGCCGCCGAGCTTGTGCCGGTAGGCTTCTGAGGGGCAGCCGATGAACGAGTAGCGTCAAGGGGTACGCGGGTGCTCTGGGCCTTGCTCTCGGTGCAAGTCGTGGAGGTTGCAGGCTTGGATGGCTTGACGGTAGGAGGAGCTACCGGGTATTCAGCAGAGCCGGTAGGCTCGACAACGGACGAGCTGGATACGGTGGAGTAGACCGGCAAGAGGGACAGAAGAGGGACCGCGGCAGTCTCTGTGAAAGCAGGTGCGATAGCAGGATTGAATAGCTGGGACGCAGGGATGTAGATGGACTTGAAAGGGTTCGGCAGATCATTGTCGGGAAGGAATCCTGAGGGTATAGCTCCGAGCGCGGATGTAATAACAGAGACGATGGGTACTATGGGCACCAGGGACGCAATCGGGTTTGGAACGGGCGTGCCGTACCCAGCAGGTGCTGTAACGGAGGGAGCAGGCTTCGAGCCTCCAGCAGGGGCGTTGTAGCTGTTATCGCCGTACTGAGCAAAGGCCGTACCGGCAAGCAGGGAAAAAAAGAAAGCAGAGTGCATCATGATGCTAGCAGATGATCAAACAAAGCGAGTAACGAAATAAAGAGCGAACGACCAGCGAACCAGGTCAGTGTGTCTGTGAGAGACGGTAAAAAGAATGTAATCGATGCGAATGATCGTGAAAGCGGTAGCAGGTCGTCGTCATGTTGGAGTTGCTCCCCTATATAACCAGGCGGGCAATGAAACAAGCCATTTCCGCTGGGGCCTGAGGCCTGGACCAAGAAGACGGCGCCAATCGAGGATCATCTCGGAAACATTTGCAGTGCACCCCAGTGCGGGGGCCGCCGCGCCTGTACAAAGGCAAGGTGAGAGCTGCGAGTGGTTGGGTTGCTGAGGCGCGGACCGTAGAATGGGTAGCGTAATTGCGGTCGTTTCGAGTTGTTTCGCCAAGATCTCGCTAGCGGTAGATCGCAGCGCCAGCACGTGACGAGGTCGGGACAGGATGGTCTAGATCATCAGTTCGTCATTGCGTCAACAAGTACCATTGCACCATCCATCATTTAGGTTTGAGGACTTCAGCGCTGAGTACTGACTAGCATACACTTAACGGCCATCTCGATCTATTGTATCACGACGCCGTCTTCCGCCGCTTGATACCGATCCACATGTCCTCCCAGAATCCTACACCACCTTTGACTACAAAATTGCCTTTGCGGCTTTCGTCGATCTCAATCTTGAACGTCCTGAAGAATTGCAATGGAGCCTTGTACAACTCCATGAGCGCGATGTCTTTTCCAAGACAGACTCTCGCGCCATATCCGAAGCCCATGTTATATTTGTTGTACTCCTTTGCTTTCTCTTCGCTTTCGAGCCACCTTCCTGGACGGAAATCGCAGGCATCTGCACCATAGATCTTCTCATCGCGGTGCACGAGCCAGGGGTTGCAGGTTATTTCGGTACCGGGCGGCGCGTAGCGGCCATGCAGGTGCATCCCTGACGAACCCACAACGCGAGGGAAGATATTCGGAGCGGAGGGACAGAGGCTGTATCCGTCAGTATATGAGAGTGACAGTGGAGGAGATGAGTATGACCTACCGCATGCTTTCTTTGACGCAGGCAACGTAGTATGGACAATGCTCCAACACTTCGTCATACTGCGGCATGGGGCTCAACTTGCCCTCGCGAGTGACGCGATCTAACTCTTCCATCAACTTCGCGTATACTTGAGCATCAGATGTAATGTACGCAATCATCGCTTGGAATGCAGTGCCCGTCGTATCAGCGCCAGCGAGCAATACGAGAAGAATTTCAGCTTTGATGTAGTCCAAATCCAGCGGTGCGCCATCTTCTGTCCTTGCATCCAGGAAAGTCTGTAGCAGATCGACTCTGTCGACTTTACCAGCTTCGATGTCTTGGATTCGCTTGGCAATGAGCTTGTCACGGAAACGCATCAGCGTGCCAATACCAGAGTCGTCCTCGGGCTTCGCCACAAGATATTTCTCGCCGAACCATGTGCCTTTTGCCCATTGTGTGAATGGCCAGAGCCGAGCCATTAGACCAAAAGGAAGTAGACCATCGTGGAAGCCTTTGATCAAGCCGTCAATATCGGAGCCGCTCTCGATGAATCCGATGGGTGCGCCAAAGCCAATCTCCGATATGATGTCATATGCCATATATACTGCCTATATAAAGTGTCAGTGCCCCTGATCGCCAGCATAACGATAGTGTGAAGCATACCCACGGCGCAAAGTCAAATCTACTGCCATCGCCAAAGACTTCCTCCAGCTTGTCAGTCCACTGCTGGATGCGATCGTCCACTAGCCCTTCCATCTTCCTGACGTTGCTGAAACTATATGGGCCAGCAGCGATCTTGCGAAAGTGCGCGTGGTGCTTGTGTTCCCGCATGTTGAACAAACTCTCGGTCTTGCCGAAGCTGCCGGTGATGTAATGATTCGACTTGTTCGATTGGCGATTGTACACTTCAGGGAGCTTGGTAGCATCGGATACCAAGAGTAGGGTAGGGGTGACGCGAAGCACGGGGCCGTATTTGCGGTGTAGAGCGAGTTCGATCTCGCATTCATCCGCCTTGATGTTGTGGTATGCGATCCATAGCCTCGTTACGCTGGCCCAGAAGGGACCCGGAAAGTGTCGTAGCGGATGAAAGTATCGATAGTAAATGATCTGGTAGACACATCTTACGGTAGTATATGCCACGAGTGCTAGGAGGATATTAGGTATCGTAAAGTATGAGAAGAGGTGCAGACTAGAGTCTTTCGTAGACATCATGCAGGAATTTCAGAATGCGAATACACTGGATCAACTAGAAAGGGAAACTGCGATGCCGATAATAGATATATCCGTGAACTATCCATCGCTCCAAAGGATCGTCAAGTACCCTTACGATGTAGGACACTAACATGTCGCCCGGAGAAGCATCGCCAGCGCCTTTTGAACAATTCACACATGTGATTCGACATGAAATCATACAGCGGTCACACCTCTCTTCCACATGTTCTCCGATGGCGTGGCGGGGTAGCGAACGCTAGAATGGATGTTGTCGCGGGGTACATACGCAGGTACGGGCACCGTTTTCCGATCTACCAGCACAACGCGGGGTCGGGAGTTGCACCCCATGCCACAGAAGCGACATGTTCGTGTCGTAGTTGGTGCGCGACATGAACGACCTGCTAGGTGTCATGCTAGCCAACCCAAACTAGGCTGAAGACGATACCTAGGTAATTTCAATGGTCGGTGATGATCTTGTGAGGACGGAAGTCCCTTTCGAGAGAAAGAATGTATGCGTCGAAGCGGACTCGAAGCCGTGTCGGCCCTGGGGAACGAACTTTGAGGCCTCGATGTTGTTGAGGTGACGCACGCAGCCAGAGCGGAAAGATGGGTCGCCAAGGGCGCTAATCCGCGCTGATTCTAGCGCACGAGCCCCTGGATGCCCAGCCCTGGAGGAAGCCGGGCGCGTATCGCCGCGCGGTTTGCGGGCCAGAACGCGAACACCGTCAGCCTCCTCTTCTTATCCTTTCAATCTCATCTCCCGCACGTCGAATCGCGTCGCGAGACATGCCATATGCGCGGTGGACGGAACTTTTGACTCAGTTAACCAAATATCCGAAATCTGCAACTGCGGGCGGTCGTCAATTGTCGCCCATTCTATTCCAAGGTTCTCTTCTGCCACGCCGCATGGACAATACCTTATTCACTGGTCAAAAGCTTCTTCGCAACAATTCATCTCTTTAGCACATCCCTACTGTGCAGATAGTTCGAGGTCAGCCGCGTATGCAGGAACGAACATGTCAAATGCCTAACAAAGTTCGATGCCGTCCGTTCACGAACGACCAACTGGGCGTGTTGTCGCTGCGATTGGCCTAGCTCTGTTACATGAAAATGTAGCGCGACACATGGCAGCGAGTCGCTACTTTCGCCGATATGGACGGGGTTATAGAGGTAGTGAAGCTTTCAACAAGCAAGCAACTTGATCTGACGCTCCAAATCGCAACATTCGGCCGGCCATGTGACTTCTCGTAGTCGCTAGCGACATAAGACCTTTACGAGTTAAGCACATATTTTTACATACGCCACCGTGTTACACAGTTATCAGCGAAAAGATGTGTGCCTGGCCAGGTAGCATCGACGTGGGTCCAGTTAGGAGCTTCATCCTCGACCTTATATTCTTTCAGATACGCTCGCTGGAAAAGATCACTCTATGACGAGAGCTTGCTCTGCCAGTCGATTAGATGCCATTATAACCGCCAGTTTTAGAGTAACAAACGCTACCTTCCACCAAGATCATCACACCTTGTCCGCCCCATCTGGTCACGCTACCTCAATGTCTAGCTGCATGGTAGTGGAGGCGTGGAACCATCCCTACTACGCGAATACACATGGGATACCGTGTGATTGGAGCTGGGCGAGTCTGCTGCAATATAATTTTGCGAGAAGGTCCGATGTTGTGCTACTGTGCCACATTCGCGCATGACTTCACACCCCCGCTATCGCGGAGTACGTCATTTGCTTCGATATCAAATTTCTTCATTACTCTCACGTACAACTCCAATTACAGCTGGCTTGATTCAATTCTCTTCAGCACCGGATTTATGTACAACCGATCGTGATGCATCTTTGCGATGTTTGTCTCGCTATACGTCCGATTCCTCGTCGGGTATCTTCTAAAAATGACACGCCCCTCGAGTGGTATGAAATCCACTATGACGGTTTTGTATCTCTGTTTAGAGCATCAAGAGCCGGTTGTTACATCTGCAGAAAGCTATGGCGCAACTATCAGTACAACGTGCGCTCGGTAGAACGCTTTGATATACATCCAGCTACCTTTTACATAGCTGAACTCACTGCTCAAGGGGGGGAAGATCTCAGGCAGACTGCAATGCTCAAGTTCTATCGAAAGGGCGAAGAAGCTGACAAAGAGCCCTTGGTACTTCTCGACGTCTTCTACTACATACCGTACGCGCCCAGTACGTTATCGGCTGAACTTGGTGACGTTCCAACATGCTAATGCAACAGGTATGCTCACCCATCTACGAACCTGTCTACCCTCCAACTCGCGCTCTCCGGAACTCTTGAACCTGGCCAAACGATGGCTCAACGTGTGTCAAACATCTCATAAAGCCTGTCGAGAAGACGCAAAGACCACGTGGTACCCGACAAGGTTACTAAGAGTTACGTCAAAGCCTTCCGGCACCAGACTAGTTGTCACGAAAGGCCAGCATATGCAAGGCGGTTATGCGACTCTAAGTCACTGCTGGGGTTCCAAGCCGATCGTTAGGTTAGTGTGCGCTAATCTAGTTCAATTCCAACAAGAGATCGACGCTACGGCACTCCCGAAAACCTTTCAGGATGCAATATCTCTTTGCAGATCCTTTGGTTTGAGGTATATCTGGATAGATTCATTGTGCATAGTACGAGCTCCCGCCGAAACGCGACGACTTGGTGCTAATTGCCTGCCATCAGATACAGGATGACCAAGCGGACTGGCAAACAGAATCAGTACAAATGCACAAGGTGTATCAGCACTCTACGCTGAACCTGTCAGCGGCTGGAGCTCAGGATGCAAGCGAAGGGTTCTATTTCGATCGCGATCCAGCAGACATTGGGCCACATCCGCTATGCCCTTTGTCTGACGATAAGGAAGGACAACTTACGAACAATGATTGTGCCGGTGCCAGCTGGCACCTGATACACGAGGATTTTGTCGGAGAGATACTTCGGAAAACGGCAGTCTTTCATCGAGCATGGATATTCCAAGAACGACAGCTTTCCAAAAGGGTGTTACATTTTGGTAAAGAGCAAATATTGTGGGAGTGCCGCACCGCTACTTATTGCGAAACATTTCCCGACGGCCTGCCTGCTGTTCTTACTGCCTCTACTAGCACTCTACCCAAGTCTGTTTACGAGAAAAGCAGGACCTACTCTACTTTGCTCTCCACCATACACAACCGTCTTCCGGGGTTATCAGACCAACCACCTTCAGTACAGATGCAGATGGTCTGGCAGGCTTTGGTCATCGACTATTCCAATGGCAAACTCACTTACCCCAAGGATAAATTAGTTGCGATAAGTGGTATGGCGCGAGATGTGTGGAGCACCTGGCATGGAAGGATTCAAGGTCGAATCAGGTACATTGCTGGACTTTGGGATATACATCTACCAGGGACGTTGTTATGGAGATCCACCAGCACGCAAGGATATTGCTCAGAGAGCTATCGAGCGCCAACGTGGTCATGGGCGTCCATCGACGGTTCAGTTGCCTGGGAAGACCGCATCTGGTCTGATGCATGCGGTTTCGTCACCACTATACTAGATGTGGATATACAGCACTTATGGAATGAATGGGGAGAAGTCTCATCTGGTCATATCTTGATGAAGGGCTCGCTTTGTAAGCTACAATGCAAAGAAGCTCATCCTGGTCACCTGGTCATTGGACCCGACGAAGGTGAAGATACACGATACGACGTTGCGATGTACAGAGATGATTGGTGGGCATTTCCGACGAACGCTTGGGACGACAGACTATATGGACTCCTCATCGTTCGCTTCCAAAATCCATCGTTCAGACGGATTTGCACGCTTGTTTTGTGCCGAGTAGCCGAGCACCAGAACACTTTCAGTCGAGTTGGGATTGCATACCCGATGTCGGGCTCGGAAGTAGGAAGCTGGTTTGACGGATGCGCAGAGCAGACGATCACGCTTGTGTGATGAGTTCTTGTTGTATGACTAGTACCCTTTAATCAGCATCTTACTATTGCATTATCGTGATTGGTCTAGCCTACCATAGTGTATTCTCTGGTGTCTTGAAACGTTCGAGAAAGAGGCGCGGCAAATACATCGTACTTAGCCAGCGCTTTGTCTTTGATCCAACAGTATTTTAACCATCTTCTCATTTAGCGACTTCAGATATCCGAAAGACTCTCAACCATCGCTTCAATCTGACTCCACTCTTTTATCAAGGTGTCATCGTCTCGGCCATGCGGATCTTTTGTGACGAAGGCTGTCAAAAGACGGTTGAGTACAAAGAGCGATTCGACCACCGTCCAGTCTGTAGAATGAACTTGCTCTAATTGTCTCTCAAATTTCTTTTCGGATGACCGGATGGCGTTGATAGTTTTCGTAAAGCTGTGGTGTTGCGATATGCTTGAAGCGAATAGCCCCCTGCTACGCTGGACTTCGTGCTCGAACCGCGATTTAGCGACCATGTGCGCTGATTTAGAGGTCATTGCTTGCGAAAAGAGTATCGTGGTTTGAAATCGACGTGATATGACTTCGTGAATTTTGTTCGTCTGATATCGTCTCGGATAGGTAGCGTACTGGAAGGCGTGCGTGGTGATAACCAGATGCCACTCCCCTCCTCTCTTATACCAGACATACTCATACAGTGATTCATACGTATAACAGTCACATACAGTGTGGTGACTGTGTGGTGGCTGCGTGGTGTTGACTCTTCGCCATGTTAGTCACATTTGACTCTTCACCGCACAGCCCACTATGTCTTTCATCCCATCTTTCACCAGATGGAAGGAAGTTGAAGAAGTTAAGAGGAGGTCGAGATAGTACTTCGGCATCATATAGGATAGTTTAGGGGACATGTAAAGGGTGTGTATAACTTGAAATGGGGCAGTGTCGGACGGCAGTTTAGAACTGGCTGGAGAGGTTTTGGGGTAGATATGACATATGTATCATTCGAACATCGACCATTATCAGAATTTACATTAGAATAGCTCTATCTGTCTTCAAAGGACAGGTTCAAGAGGTAGATACAGGATGCATATCCTCTGAAATCGACCAGTGCGAGACGTCTACATCGGCCTCTCTCACGACGAAATCAACAACCTCACCAAACCCAGGAGGTACTCAAGTCTTCTCACAGCCTCATCTCAATCATCTAGAAACGTATGTATCTATACCACCACACTATAAACTCACTTAACACTACCGCAATGTACTCGAAGCTCTACACGCTACCTCATCACCTCTTGAAGATGCTTCACACTATACAACGTATTCTTCAAATCTGCTCACGGGTCTCTAGGAACGTCGAAGTGAGAGAAGATGATATAAGCTAGAGCGCTTTCTGGATTAGTGTGTTTGCTACAGACTCACCTTCACTTCCGAAGTTCGACCAAGCCGCGACTAGTCCGCACCAACTCTTCCTCCCACCTTACCTCTCTTCTACCTGCACACCACCACAGTCACACGAATCCGACAGCGCGATGGCGAATGAGCCACAAGAGCCTCCGCCCCCGCCGGTAATCGGGTACGTAGTCTCTTTTCTGGAATGAAGCTATCGCAGTCACTGACAGAACAAATAGTATCGCTACAACAGGCGAACTCGTCACCATCTTCGTCGGCCCCGAGAAGAAGCGCTACAACATCCACAAGGACATCATCTGCCACCACTCCGAGTATTTCCGAGCCGCTTACAACGGTCGATGGAAAGAGGCGGACGAGGGTGTGATATTGGAGGACGTCGAAGTCGAAGTGTTTAACATCTTCGTTCACTGGCTGTACACCCAACAGCTCCCATCAGGAGATCTTGCCGACATCGCGTATGCGAACAACATAGAGAAATACCCCAATGCGGACTATCTCTACGGTGGTGGGCAGCTTAGGGCTTGCGCTTTCGCCAACCGATTTCTTGTCGCCGAGTTAGAACGCATTGCTCATAACAACTACATCGACTTCGTATGGTACACAACGGCTCCAAGGTACGAGGACGTATATTTCGTCTACGAGAATCTGCCAGGACACACCTTGATTCAGGACCTCCTCGTCAAATTGCAATATGAATGGTGGCATCCCGGCCAGGATTCCCCACAGGAAGAGGCAACGCGCCTTGACCTCCCGAAAGAATTCCTTGTCGGTTTCATGCTCAGGCACGCAGAGGTCCGCGCTCAAGGTGGCGGCACGGATTGGGATAACAAACAGGAGGAGTTCTACATGCAGAAAAGAACCGAGAAGGTCAGTGAATGACGCAAAGGCTGTTGCTGGGGAAAACGACTGAGATCGGACACGTGGCAACTCCTAGCCAGGACGGCGATGCTTAGGATGAGGGAATGACGGGGATGTATGGTTCTTACTCTTTCCGCAAGAAGTAGTCGCTGGGAGGAAGGGGCGATCAGATGCAGCAGCGTCACTTACCCCGTAGCCCAGTTGCACCTTCCAAATTCAAACATACATGTGCGCACCCACAATCGCAAAGAAAAAAAAAAGCTCCATTCAATACTAGGGTATAAGATGAAGAAGCCAAAATACCACAAACCCACCCACCCATCCAGCCCAACCCCGTACTAACGCCAGCCTCGCATCATCCAAGAGTCACCAGTACCAGTAACCGCATCCCGTACTGTCCTATTAATCCGAATATCGTGACACGGCCCACCCACCATTCCTAACCCCATCAACGCCAATGTTGGTATCTCGGTTATCATAATTTTGCACTCGTGCGCCTCCCTCCATTGAGATTCAAGCCTGAGCATTCGGTGTCGGCTTATCTTCGTGCTCTTCGACGATCGGGCTCGCGGGCGCCTCGTCCTCGTCGCTTGCTTCCCTCGCGTCTTTCCACTCTGAGCTCTTTCGGCTGATGCGTGCGGGGCCCATGGGGTTTTCGCGTGGGCTAGCGAGCGGGCTGGTGGGTGTGGCGCGCATGCTGCTGATACTATCAGTGCGGCCGTGGCCAAGGAGTCCGCTGCGCACGCTGAGTCCGTCGGCTTGCTTGGTCGCGTAGTAGCTGTTGCGTTCGCTGGGCAGGACTGGGGCTGTGACGCCAGACGCAGAGTAGACGCTCGCGCGCTCCGCGTTTACGAAGGCGCTGACGTTGCTTGGCCTGCTGGAGGGCGAGTATATGGCGTCGGGGTTCGCTGATAGTACGCTGAGGGGCAGCGATTCGCGACTGCCGCCGTAATGCGACGAGGGGGCGAGTGCGCGCATCGAGGCATTGGTGTCTACGGAGTTGCGACGGCGGCGCTTCGAGGATGAGGCGAGTGTGAGGATGGACGCGTTATCGGTGAGGATGTTGTTTGCGGTGGCGCCCTGATATGAGTTGGGCTGCTGCTGCTGCGGCTGCTGGGGCGCCAGATGCGGCGGTATGGCTGACGGCGGCGGGGAGGTGGGGAACTGATGCGAAAAGTGCACAGGCGTGGTACTTGTGGTTGTCGCATTGTTCTGGGGTTGCGCCTGGCCAAGGTTGAGGATATTCGAGGGTGCGGTCGATTGTATGGTGGTCAGGGTGGTGGTGAGAGAGTGCTCTGAGCCGTGCGGGGACGAGAAAGTGCTGCCGCCATTGACAAAGTTGCTGCCGCCTGTCTCCGCCTTTGACCTTGACGAGTGTACTGTCTCGGGGACTGTGGCTACCGTGGGGGCGGTGGATTTGTTGCTCTTGTCTATCGCCTGTCGCTGTCCGGCCGCGGGCTCCTCTATGGACGTATAGCTGTCGTGCGATCGTAATGTGGCCGGGGTAGTGACGGAAGAGTTGTCGGCGGGCGGTACGTTGGTGTTGATGTAGCCAGACTCGGGATAGGGGTTGTTCTTTGGAGCGCCTTTCTTGACGGTGTTGCCCTTCTTGCCTGGGGCGTCGGAGGATGAGGGCTTCAGATTGGCCAGGCGCTTCATCCAACCCGCAAAGGGTCGCTTGCGCGCATGTCGGTCTTTGTATCGCGTTAGCATGGTGAGCATGATTTGGTGAGGGGAGAGTGGGCGTGGCGTAGGGAGGATATAATTTGGGTAGTTGTCTGAGACAATGGCTGTGCAAGACTAGTTCACCGTACCATGGGGTCTCGACGCAGCTTCGGCCGTAGCCATTATGCCGGCTGCCAAATATAGAGTGCCGGTGGTGAGTGAAGGAGGTCGTTGGGCTAGTTAGGCGCGGGATGCCACGTTTAGTCGGACGATCCCACGTCGAATCTACTGGAGTAATGGGGACGCGGCTGTCGGTAGCGCGGTGTGCGTCGTGAAAGCCAGCGCAGGCGGTCGGGCGCGATTATCGAATGGCGAGACAGCAAGTCGTATCGCTGCTATCAGTAATCCGAGGCGATTGAGGCAGTCTAAGTTACGTGGTTGGGGCCGGGAGGTTGCGCTGATGGGGAAAGAGCGAGGAGCTGCTGGTCGCTCCTGCTCATATCTCCGGCTGGACCCTGACCCTTTTCCCCAGCGCACCTGCCGCCCGCCGCGCTAAGCCGCCATGTTCCCTTCACGACACACGATTGCGTATGTTCTGTAGATCTCCATGTTATCGCCCACCCAAACTCAACACTGATCACGGCGCGACCCCTTAACATGATCGAACACGGCTCATCAAACAACAAGGGCTGAGGGGGCGCCCGCCAAACTTATCACTACGTCATGACCCGAAACACGTCCATTGGCGCCAAACAGACTATCCCCAATGCTCCCACGCGAACTATACTGCCCCTGCCCGCCGAGGTGATCGCCCAAATCAAGTCGTCGACGGCAATTGTCTCGCTTACGGGAGTTGTGCTGGAGCTCCTGAAGAATTCCCTGGATGCGAAAGCGACCAAGGTAGAAGCCGCGATTGACTTCGCGCGCGGCGGATGCTCGGTCGAAGATGACGGTCTCGGCGTATCTCCCCTCGAGTTTCGCGAAGAAGGAGGCCTGGGCAAGCTCTACTGTATGTGTACATGCCGAAAGCCATCTAGATAGATGATTGACGGTGACAGGCACGTCCAAGTACCATGCGACCGACCCTCTCCTTGGCCGCAATGGCACCTTCCTCGCGTCGCTCGCTGCTATGTCACTCCTGACCATCTCATCGCACCACTACCAACACCGTTCACACAACGCGATAACGTACCACCAATCCAAGGCTGTGGAAAGGCAACTTCCGGCGTCGGCGCATCACGAGATATCAGGCAGGCATGGCACCCGCGTCACCGTGCGGAACTTGTTCGGCAATATGCCCGTGCGCGTGAAGCAACGGTCGATAATTTCAGAGCAAAGAGCCGAAAACGACAGACTCTGGGATGGGTTGAAGAGGGACGTAACGGGTCTCTTGCTCAGTTGGCAGCGTCCAGTCGCTATTCGAATACGGGACGGTGACAACAGGGTAGTGCTCAGTCTCAGCATATCCGGCGTGGAAGCAGCCACAAAGAGAAAAGAAAGTGAGATTGCGAAGCCACGATCGGCACAGCTCTCATCACTCCTCAACGTATTGACCCAGGCCAACTACATCACCGTCCATGAGTGGGCGTCGTGGGTACCAGCGTCTGCTTCCACATCTGCCATCTCGATCAAAGGCGCTATTTCACTAACCCCAGCACCCAGCAAGCATGTTCAGTTCATCTCGCTGGGCATACGACCGCTTTCAGCGGAGGCCGGCCACAATGAACTTTTCGATGCAGTCAATCGCCTCTTTGCATTGTCCAGCTTTGGTACTATCGAGGAAGATGCCGACATCGATGAGCAAGAGAAAATTCGACGGCAGACAGACAAGCGCTTCAGGCAGGATGGCTATACAAACAGGCAGCTCAAAGCACGCAAAGACGTCGACAAATATCCCATGTTTCACCTTCGCATCTCGTTGAAGGAGGCTCGAAGGAGAAGCGTTTCCGAAGATCAGTTCATCGGAGACGAAGCGAATCTACAAAACGTGATGGAGGTCCTGGATGCAATGGTAACTCAATGGTTGTCGGTCCATCACTTCAGACCCCGGCAATCTCGCATGAAGCGCGATCGACCTGGTACTGCTTGTAGCGCTGCTGAGGACTCTGCTGTCAATGTGCCATCTACGGAGAGTCCCACAACCAACATGGCTTTCCGAGGACACGACGCGAGAGCCCGCTCGGCAACACCAAAGCAAAGTTCAACCCCGTCCCAGTCTCTCAAGAGGAAGCGTCCAGACAAGATAGCGTCACGGGAGTTGGCCGACCGGTCTCGCTCTGGGGCCTTTGCAGAGTGGTCACGCATCAAGAGTGGAAAGCCCGAGTTTTTCAGCAGCACTCTGAACGTGCCGAAATCCAAGACCGCATTCGATACTTCACTTGGTGCGAACCCCGAAGCTTTCGCCCACTTTGACGTAGCGCCGCTACCTCAAGGTGCTCTAAGCGGACAAGGCCAGCGCGACGATATTTCGCTGCCTGCAGAAGCCTTCGAAACCGACGATAAGGAGAACGACGACACCATCTTGTGGACGGATCCGACGACAAAGAAGACGCATCTACTGAACGCCAGAACAGGTTGCGTGGTACCTGACGCTCGGTCGCGGCCAAGTACCGACTCAGCTATGCTCTCGAATTCGATATCCCAGAACACATCGAATACGTCAATGCGATTACCGACACGGGCTGCGACGGCTGTGGCTGGCAAGACACCCTGGCTTGACGATATACTAGACACGTGGGAGAACCCAGTCTTCAAGACGAGCGAGAAGCGTATACAACAAGCTGTGTTGCACGCAGATGAGGCTGACCACGGACACCATCATTCCAGACATGGCTGTTCTCGCATTGATATCGACAAGGCTTTTAACCAGACTTCCACGGGTGGCTCCAGCAGATTGTCGAGAGAAGGGTTGCAAAATGCCCAAGTCATTGCGCAGGTCGACAAGAAGTTTATCTTAGTCAAGATGCAGGATTCAAAACGGGTGGAAGATGCGCGCGCGGGACTCCTTGTACTAATCGATCAGCATGCAGCAGATGAGCGCGTGCAGGTTGAGTCGCTCCTTCGCCAACTTTGCAGTCCGGCACAAGAAGAGACAAGATACCTGTCCAAGCTCGGCTACCAGGCGCAGGTAGCCTCCGTCGTTCTGGATAAGCCAACTCAGCTTGCAATTTCGCCGCAGGAACGAACACACTTCATAACGCATGCCGCTAGGTTCGCAGCGTGGGGTATTCTCTACGATGTTCTCCAGACAACAGCGTCTGTATCTTTTCCCAGCACCACCAACAAAGAGAAGTATGTCTTGTCCGTCACAGCTCTTCCAACTGGCATATCGGAACGATGCAAAGCCGACCCTAAAGTCCTGATTTCTTTCCTCCGCTCGACAGTCTGGAAGTACGCCGAAGATCCACATCTCCCTCCTTTACCCACACCATCTAGCTCTCCGTTGAACGACCCCGCGAACTGGGTGAGACGCCTAGCCACTTGCCCACCTGGCCTTGTCGATCTCATCAACTCTCGCGCATGTCGCTCGGCCATTATGTTCAACGATGAGCTCAGCATCAATGACTGTAAGGCTTTGGTGAGGAACCTAGCGGGCTGTGTCTTTCCGTTCATGTGCGCGCACGGAAGGCCCAGTATGGTGCCGCTTGTCGATCTCGGGGGTTTGGGTGAGACAGCGGGTGGGTTGGGCGGTCGAGACGAGGCGAAGGACGAGGTCGGGTTTGTAGATGCTTGGAAGAAGTGGAGGAAATGAATAAAACGTATACGGCATCCTCTCACAATATGCAGGACAGCAAGTTTGACAAGGCTGAACGCCGTCAAGATGACAGGGCGTTCTACTCACCGATAAGACGAAATGCGGTGACCAGTCCCGCATACAGCGCGATGAGACCACCCTTCTAGCCCCGAACATGTTGATTCGACAATCCTGCTTACAATGCGTCACCGTGCGTATGAGCTGAAAGCCACTTGGTCCTATCACAACGTCTTAACCTCAGCCTTGTCGGTCGCTAGAGAGATGTATATCTTACTGCACTATCCCCGTGTCCAGGGATCTGCGCCCGCTCCACTCGATTCCCAAGATCCCTTTTACAGGTCTCGAGTCGAACACCAGAGGCATGGCCGCTGATGCCGCGCGTGGATACGCAAGCGCTGCTCGTGCTCCCAACACTCCACTCCTCGAACCTGGCATTGAGGTATGTGATTATATTTTTGATTTGCAACACCCGAAAGCAGATACTGACATGAAAAGATGAGCGCCAGAAGGCCTGATGTAGACAATGCAACGACGAGCCATGTACAGGATCCGAGCGATGATGCCCCGACGCAGCCGATAACGCCAACCTCCGAGGAGCTACTGGACGAACGGCGCACACGAGCTATTAAAGCTATTTTCGGGTTGCCAGAAGGAGCTATACCGTCATGGCCCGGATTGCAGTTGGTTTGCGCACACATCGAAAGCTGCTTCGATGCGTTACAGTGCGGGGAAAACTTTTATTGGGGCAGAATTAGTTACACCCTACCCAAACCGGAAGAGGCTTACGAGATCTGGGACAGATACTTTACCTATTTTCCTGTTGACTCCGACGTGATTTCAGACATGAAATCTCCAAAGATCGCTGCTTTTTGTTGTGTCTCCTTGATTCTGAAACCTACTTTCGTGCATCGCGGATCAATACAATTTGAGAACTATGTATCACCTCGTTCGGAATACTCCGACGATAGCAGTGGTGATAGGCTCCTTCAAAAGATTAGAGATTCACTTAGAATCGCCGGTGTCCTCCATACCATTGAACACCGTGAGGATCAATCACCAGATATTGAAAGAGCCGGGGTTCACGGAGACACAGGCATGATTTACGAAAACACTGTAAATTTCGATTCACTGTCGACAATTGGACGGCTGACAGTAAGATGGGTTGACAGTATTGCCAACCACCTAGTTTTCGATCAAGCAAGACACTTGGTTTATGTCTTTCGTTTCCCTACTTTCAGCGCCGCCATGATCAACGGTCAATTCCGCGGCTCTGCCCAACACTGGTAAGCCTCGCGAAGGCTCCATGTGACGTTGCCCTGCTAATTTCATGGGAAGGGCGCAATTGGCTCTTATACCGCCGCCATATGGAGATGATTTGCGGACAAAATTTCAGTTTCTCGACTACAAACTCTTGCATCGTGAAGTACTCCTCACGTACCGCCTCCTGTTTGGTCAGAGTCCTCGGTCTCGAAATTTGGCAAAAGACAGCTTTGCCAAAGAGAAATCAGCCCAGTCAAACACAGGTCAATACGCTATGGACCCTCTGCTAGAAGAGCTTTGTACCGTGCCATTGTCGACATCTTGGATCTCGAGAATGTTGTCATCTTACAAACCGTTACAGTTGTCCGCAGACTTCTTCCCGTCATCATGCACCAACGGCCAGAACGGCAAGTTCACAGAATCTGCTTCGTACACCGTTGAGCACGACTTCCCCGTATTTGGAGCCCGACTACTCGCGTTGCAAGAGTACAATGAACGCCAGAAGCCAACCCGAGCACGGGATCTATGGCGTGATCGACGAAATCCACTTCAATGGTACACCTTCTGGGCGGTGATTTGGGTGGGAAGCATTTCGATCATTCTTGGAACGTTGCAGCTTGGTGTTTCGATTGCGCAATTGTACTATGCGCCTGGGTCTTCCAAGAACTCTTGAAGCTGGGGTTCGATTTAGCTAGGAACTACAGCTATTGTAAATGAGCCGAAAGAAGGATATCGTATTGAGCCAGTGCTAGGTAGTAGCCAAAGTATGTGCAGGTCTACAACACCCCTATTCAGAAATTTCGCTCAGCCCAAGACCTTATGATTCCCTCATCACTATCCGGGTACTCCCTATACTCCACCTCCCCATTCTTCTTCAGGGACGTATTGCCCTGCACAAACTTCGCTCTCCGCTCCGGCCTCGTCGCCACAACACTTCTCCACGTCTCATACACCCCCTCTACCCTCGTCAACGTCTCATAAAACGGTCGACACGCCTCGATATCCGCTGTGCACCGCCAGATATGCAAGGCACGCATCAAGCGACCCAGCGCGGGTTTTCCGTTGGAAATGATTTTGATGCGGTCGACGGTAACGTAGAGGGCAGAGGTGCTGGCGTCGTGGTGGACTGTGAGGACGCCGTCTCCCTCCATGAGGAGCTGTTTAAAGATGGCGAAGTAACCTTGGCTGTGCGCTTGGGTCCACCTCTTGTCATCGGGGTTGTAGTGTTCGAGAGAGCGTAGGCCTTCCACACCGAGGTGTAAATAGGAAAGATATATCAAGTCGTCAGCAGTGAGCGCACTATTCTCGCCATACCCAAAGATCGCGAGAATGTCTTTGTTATCGACGAGGTATGCTGACATGAGTATAGCCCTACACTCTTCAACTGAATTGGCAATGTCTTCGAATTTGCTCCAATATGTTTCGTTTGGGCGGTAGCATGAATCGACTTTCCGGTTCGTCAAAGGGCTGAGTGGCGGGTTCGTGGCGTCGAAGTTGAAGATACCGGGGCTTGTTTCGCCGAGGAGTTTTCCCGTGCCATGGCCGAGGAGTTCGTGAATGACTGTTGCGACGAAGCGGATAGTATGAAGGTTCTGATGGTAGTGGTCGCCATCTGAAGGGTGGAGGTAAATGGACGCGCCGGGTGAGTTGCGATTCGCGCTCATTCGGTTGGCGATGATGATGTTCTTTGAGCCGTGGTTCTCGCGGATGTCATTGTACTGAGCAAGTAGAGGTGAGTGACTAGATTATTGGGGTGTGGAGAGCAGTCAATAAGACTTACGTTGGGGAGATTTGACGCTTCCCAAACATACGGGCAGCAGACTGTTAGCGCTGCGTCATCAGCGTTAGCATGCGTTTTGGTGTGGAGGGCGCCGGCACTCACCATGCACAATAGCACATTGGGGTATGGTAACCACGTCCTTCTCGAATAAGCCCTTGCCCTCGTTCTCCGCCGTCGCCCAAGGTAACAAGGTACAGAACTTCGCTGCACTAGCCACGAAGACTTCCATCTTCTTTGTTTCTTCTGGATCCGCGATACACACTACGCCCTCCCATTCCGCTCGTACGCCATGAGGATCACGATAAGTTTCCACGAAACCGAAGATGTGTTCGATCGACGGGGAAATGTCTTTGACCCAGATCTCCCGGCCTCGTCGAAATTCTCGGAGATCTCCGCTTTGGAAGCTACGTATGTAGTGATCGAGTATGGCTCTCTGGTTGTGATTTTGTGCGTACGTGCCGGCGCGACCGAGGCTGTGGCAGCTCGTTAGTCTAGTTTTCAGGCCGGAAGATCCTGATACTATCACGTTGGATATGGATGTCAAGATGAGAAAAGACTTACTAGTAGCCAATAGTAGACACTTGGTTCTGATGGTCTCCTTTCACTATTTGAAACCTCGGGCCACCAAGTCGGTCAGCTGGAGTAAGCTTGCTGCTGCCAGTCTCAACCGAGGCCTGGAGAACTTTGAACACGGCGTTCCCGCTATCAATTGTCTTTCGCACTCTCGTATTCTCTGGCTCAATGCCTTCTTCCTGCATAAATAGTTGTATTTCCTTGATCTCTGTGCGGGTGATGCGGTCGCCCAGGTAGTAGCTCGACACAGCAGTATCGCTTGGATATCCCGTGTTCTGCGGAGGTACTGCAGTCATACCCTCAACTAAGTTCTCAGCAGCAGATCCTTTCATACCCACGCATTGCACGATCTTCTCCAGAGACTCTTTACGAAGATCAGGTACAAACTTCTGGCCTCCCTCACCCTGCATAGTTAGCACGTAATCTTGTCTTCTCTCACAACTGCTGGCCCTTACATAGAAGTTTCCAAGATTGTACAGGAATAGCCCAGCATAGCCCAACAAAGCCTTGACTTCAGCCTCGGTCACCGCGCATGGTTCTTCGAACTGACTCCGATCGCCCTCGCACGCACGATAGGCTCTTATGATGAAATCAAAGATGGCTTCAGATTCTAAAGAGGTCTGCCGCAGAATGATGCGCGCTCCATGCCAGGCTGCTTGCGAGAGATAGTGAGCGTAGAGTTTGTCGCGAGGTGGGAGACTGTCGAAGAGAGGCTCGATCGCCAGACGGTGGATTGGAGAGGCCTGGTCAGGCACTCGAGCGCGATTGGAAGCCATTGCGGAATGGTATGATGAGGTCGTGAGTAAAATGCACGCAGGTGTAGCAACTCTGATCCTGCGTCGCTGTGCGTTTGCATCGACTGCACGTGATCGAAGCAAACGCAGCCATCCATGCATTAACCCTTGACATCAGGTTTGAGGCGGCGTTTCGCGGTCGAGAGGGAATATAGGTTCGCACCATGGTCTTTCGCGGCGCACGAGAACACGTGGAGCTTGGTTCAAGCTACGTTGGTGTACGGTGACTCTTTGTACGACATTGGATGTTGGATGTTGGATATTGATCGATCAGTGCCATATCCTCGGTTAGTGTTGATGTGATTTTACTTGTTCCTCCGAGTCTTTTAGTATGTTCTGGTAAGGAAATGACGCATCAGCGATGGGTCGAGCTCGTCCTTGAACCCGCAACTGCACCGTGAACAAGAGATGGGAAGATGGTTTAAGCGATCGAGCACAACGCGTCAATATGGCGCGGTATTGGCGATGTTCGGGTTGCACCCAGAGACCTAGCGTGAGAAGTAATAGAACGATCGATAGAGAACTTTCAGAGGAGCGAAATTTCAAATAGATTTGCTTCGTTGTCAGCAAGCCAGCAGCGATGATCTTCGATGAGTGGGTGCTCCATGTGAACGCGCATACGTTCGGCATCCGACCATCTTAACTAAGAGCAATTGCAATGTAGACGGAAGGGTGTTTTGGGGTTCAATTCGAGCATCGCTTCTTTGCGATACTATCATCTAAGAAGGCGGGCATCGCTGGGTATGATAGAAGAGTGAGGCCTCGATGCCAGGAACGCGCTGAAGTTTAGCGTGGAAGATTCGCGATGAGCTAGTCCCAGTTGGGTGTAGTCACGTGGTCATCGTCATTCATGAGCAATCGCGCCGACGTCGAATTGCCCTCCGCCTTCCACCTGCACGTTATTTACTCCCTTTTGATGCTGATGCAACTAGTCCATCGATGATCGTGATGCGAAGCCCACATTATAGAGGTGCCGTGCCACACGATTGCCAACCGCAGCTATGACTCTCTAATCACGGACGGCACGCTTATGACCATGGCGCAAATCATGAGATCGCCACGGCAGGTGCAGACACCATCCAGAGAATCCAGCAAATAAGCGAACGCATCGTTCACTCAAGCATGCGCCCTTCCCTTTGCCGACGCTGACATCGCAAAGTCGAGTCAACATACGTCATCCACGAACTTCATTAACCCGAACATCTCAACAGCCAAGCTTCCACTCCACTGCTGAAGCTGAATTTCGTAGGTAACAATGCATGAAGCTAAGCCCGCGAAACGAGCTCTTACTCCAACAAACAGTGTGTCATAGCCAGATTGAGTAACGATGTGCGCTGCACCCCGCGATTCGGGAGACGTTTGGCGGGGATCTATCGTTGGAGAATCGGAGGAGATGCAGCGATAAGAGTGTTGGGGGCGTACTCAGTGCAAGGAGTTCCAGTTGACTTACCGCAAAACAACATGTCGCTAAAGGAGAAGGATCTTGAAGCCGAGCGAAAGGAGCATGTCAGTGTCCACACAATGTCCCCTGAAACGATGCGCTGACGACAGAAGGTCTCATTTGACGAGAAGAGCTATGGCGGTAGACATGACGGTATCAACAGCGACGACGCTGTATATCCAGCGAAGGACTCCTCGAGACCAGCATCGTCGCCTGTCGAAAGAGATGGCAAGGAAACACGTCGCATCATTCGGAAGATAGATCTCAGGCTCTTACCAACACTCGCTGTCATCTACGCCTTCGCACTCATCGACCGCGTCAACCTTCCGAATGTACTGCATATCCTCAGTCGTCCTTGTAAGCCGTATACTGACTCACCATTCAGGCGCGTATTGCAGGCATGGACGAAGACTTGGGCCTCTCCATCGGCTCACGCTACTCCATACTCACCATGATTTTCTTTATTCCTTACATCATCTTCCAGTTTCCTGCCAACATAATCATCCGAAAACTCGGCCCTGCCGTCTGGCTACCCTCCCTGGTCGTTTGCTGGGGCGCTGTCACGATCGGCATGGGCTTTACGAATGACTGGACGCAAGCACTAGGTTGCCGAATTATACTGGGTGTGCTCGAGGCCGGCTACTACCCTGGCTGTGTCTTCTTGTTGAGTTGCTGGTATGTGAGATTCGAGGTGCAGAAGAGATTCAGTGGATTCTACCTGCTAGCGCTTCTTGCGAGTGGTTTTTCAAACATCTTGGCTTGGGGTCTAAGCGAGATGAGAGGACTAGGAGGCCTAAATGGGTGGCAATGGATCTTTGCGATCGTATGTCAAGCGTCTTCATACTCGCTACCAGTCGCTGACAGATACTAGGAGGGTGCCATCACCATGTTGCTGGGCTTCCTAGGCTACGTGACTATTATCGACTTTCCCGATAAAGCCAGCCAACCCAGCCCCATCACAAAACGCCCTTTCCTGACCGATGCGGAAGCCACCATAGTTCTGGCCCGCATCCAACGCGACCGTGGCGATGCCGTCGCCGATAAACTTACCCGTTCAACCATCGCCAAACATCTCCGCGACTGGAAGATCTGGGAGTTCGCGTGGCTCTACTTCCTCAACAACGTCGTTGCGTACAGCTGGGGATACTTTCTTCCAATCATCCTGCGCAACGACATGGGTTATTCGGTCGCCATGAGCCAGATCCTGTCTTTCCCGCCATATGTCCTGGCTGCCGTTTGGATGTTCGGTACGGCATGGGTCGCCGACAAATATAGAATGCGCGGTGCAATCATCGTGTTCAACTGCGCATGGGCAGTCTTGGGAGTGTGCATGATGGCTTTCCTCAGCAACGCTCGCGCAAGGTATGCTGGAGTCTTTTTGGGAGTCAGCGGTGCAAACGCGAATGTGCCGAGCATACTGAGTTATATGCACAACAACATCGTGGGTCAGATGAAGAGGAGTGTTGCGAGTGCGTTGTTGATTGGAGGGGGAGCTTGCGGAGGTATCGCAGCATCGAATATCTTTCGACAACAAGATGCGCCCAAGTACATGTAAGTCCATGCAGCAAGAATTGCAGAGGTATGAAGCTGACTTGCATAGACCCGCCATGGCTGTTGTTATCGCTACCCAAGTCCTGAGCATACTACACGTGCTAAAGAACTTCTGGGTCTACTCACGAGCTAACCGTCAGGCTGATCGCGGAGAGAGGATTCTGGAGGGCCAAGAAGGCTTCCGACAAACGCTTTAGATTCCGGGCTGCACTGTCCCCCGCTATGCCAGCGGACGATGAACAATACGAATATATGCCGCTACGCTATGCTATGCCATGCTATCGAACTCATCAAATAGTACGCGACGTGACAGCTTCCCTTCACAACAAAGATCCCAGATCTCGTGTGCCGAACCAAGACTAGCCCATCAACCTCCGCCGCCTTCCACTGTCAACACTGACGGTATTGTCTGGTCCGATGCTAATGCTCAAGCTGCTGGTATCGTCTTCGCTTGGAGCCCTCCTCCTGTCTCTGTCTCTGTCCCGTCCGCTAACAGCCTGGCTCTTACTCCTCTCGGGTTGTATGACCAGCCACGTTGAGCCGCCTCCCTCATGCTCTTGTTCCATGAGCTGAAGTTGTGGTCCTCCGCCTCTCTCATCTCCTCTTCGCATGTCCCTGTCTCCTCTTCTCACATCGGTTTCGCTTAGTCCTCGCTCGTTTCGGCCGCGCTCTCGACTGGGCTTTGCGTTCTTGGTGGGTGGCGGGGGAGGGAAAAGAGAGGGGAACTTGGCGGTTTTCAGAGGTAGTGTTGTAAGCGAAGAAGGTAGCGGGAGAGATTCGATCAGCGTCAGCTTCTCGAGTGGTATAGAGGTGAGGAGCGAAGCAGGTAGGTCGACGGGCGAGCATGCGACTATCGTGTGCCGTAGGTGCGTGTTCGATGCGAAGAACGACAAGTTTTCTGTGTCATGTTAGCGACTTCGCGACCTTCCACCTCGAGCATGCGTGGATACATACCTCGCACTTTTCTTCCTGCTCCGCCTTCCTTGCCGACTCCAGTGTCGATCCAGTCGAAGCTCGTTATCCTACCGCAGAAGCCAGTCGAGAAGGCTCGTAGCTGACCCAAGTTCCGAACCTTCTCAAGTCGTACAAGGTAGTTGGCCATACCCTCCAAGTTGGCATAAATGCGGACGATGATGTCGAGTGAGTCGGCATCTTCGTACAGCTCCCGCAAGTATTCCCTGATCCGTATGTTCAGTTCGTCTGCTAATGCTTCGCCGCCTTGAGCTTTTCGTGTTATGTATTTGTCTTGAAACTGGGACGGTCAGTCAAGATGCATGGCGGGAAAGTATACTGCGACACATACCAGGAAGCCTTCGGCATCGGCATCTATGAGCACCATAACGAACGGCCGTTTGGACTGTGATTGTACTAGAGCCTCTTCTTTTGCCTTGGACTCCGATAGCTGGCCTTGCATCGTCCGCGTGACATCTGCGATTTCCGCTTGCAGCGTCCGCCTGACATTCTGTTCGGAGCCGAGGTCGAGTTCACACTGTGCGAGGCGTGCTTCTGTCTTTTCGAGCTTGTCGAGGAGTTCCTACTCCGTCGTCAAAACCATCGTCACTTCCAGGACGCCTCCAATAGCATACCTCGATAAGCTCACACCTCTTCTCCTCCAGAATCCTAAACTGCGACAACCGATCGCGAAACGTCATCGGAGGTGGGGCAGGCGGGCCCACAACAACTAATTCCGCCATCTTCAGAACTGGCAAACGTCACGCAATCACCAAAAGGCAGGAAAATTACTAAACGACAGAAAAATCTGGGGATCCTAACATTTAAGAAGACGCGTTGTTTTGGGCTCCCGCGCAGCGCTAGCTAGTTGTTTTGCATCTGCATGGCCCAAAGTACGGTGACGCCGCCGGTGCGAAAGATGGCAGGTTCTGATTGGCTGGGCATGTGGGGGAGTTGGGCTCATACGCTGCCTTGGTGTTGGAAGTCACCGGAAGCATACAGAAGCTCGTGAGCTGGCGGGCTGTGTTCTGGTCACGGA